CCCGCCGCCACACACACCTCCCGCGGAGTGCCGCCGAACCCCCCAGCCCCCTGCAGAGCGCCGCCGAGCACCGCTGAACACCACCACCCCACCGCGGAGCGCCGCGCCGCCGAACCCTCCCGCCACCACACACACCTCCCGCCAAGCACCGCTAAACACACCCACCGCCGAGCCGCGCTGCCAAATCCCCCCCCAGCCGCCAAAACAAAAACTACTCACCCCACTCCCAGCTCCACCCGACCGAACCCTCCCCCAAAAAACAAAAAACCCTGAGCGCCCCCCGCCACCCCAAGATTGGCCGCCCCTTACCAGTTGCCGCCCCAAGCACGTGCTTGGTTGGCTGGTGCCTGGAGCCGGCCCTGCTCAGAGAGAGAAACCAGTTACAGAGACTGAAAGTATGTTTACACTTCGGGGTGGGAGGTGTGATTCCCAACTCAAGGAGACATACTTGTGCTACCTCTGATCAAGCTAGCATGCTAAAAAGCCAGAAGTGTAGCCATGGCAGCACAAGCGATGGGAGGGCTAGCTACCCTGAGTACAATCCTGTCTCAGACACAAGTATGTACTTGGGCAGCTAGCCCCTCCTGCCGCTGGTGCTGCTGCAGTTAGACTCTATTTTTAGCTCACTTGCTGGATCAGAACTAGCACAGATTTATCTTCTTGAGCTGGAAATTACACCTCCAGCTTAAAGTGTTGACTTTGACATACTATCAGGCAAAGGATGCAGACAGGCTAGATTTCCGCATCAGTAACTTGTTTACTTCTTCTGGTTAGTTAAATACATGTTATCCTAAAACCTTCCTAAGTCACCGTTAAAATAGTATACGCTGCAGTATCTTTTAGCAGCACATCTGTATCTTCAGCTGTGCAGTTCCTAAACTGTGAGTCTCTAAGCACTTCAGACTTCCTAAGAAGCAGGTCTCAGGTGCTGGGGAAGAGGCCTGCAGGAATTTCCGCAGTCTTTCCAAGCCTCACAGGAACCATGCATCCTTCCCAAACAAGACTTTCACTGATTTAAACTAAATCCATTTTAAAAATGTATTTTAATTAGCATAGTGTATATAACTTCTGGGTGTATATAAGGCCTAAGACTTTCTAAGATGCATCAAAACTCTGAAGCCTCCTCAGAGCCCTTGATCTTCCTCTTCTAACCCCTCCCCTCCCATCCCTTCAATGGACTCAACAGTTTTTCCATCTAAACACTGGGATTTGAGGGTGCTCGGCACCCCACAGGAAAAGCTCAGCATTTTGCAAGGATTTATTGACTTACTACTGGACCTGGTTCCCAAGATCAAAATATCCTATTTTATCCAATCTGCCGTGAGAGAAAGTTTAAAGCGCACACATAGACATAACAGGAGGGTGGAGGTAGAGATTAATTCAAGTGGAGGCATTTCCATGGCAACACTTAAGTAAATAATAATTCACAGGAATAATAATGGCAAAATACAGCCTTCTTCAAAGGAAAACACAGCTAAAGGGAAGGAAGCAGCCAGGTGTGCCACCAGTGGTGACTGCATAATAAGGCTAATGTTGATATTTTAAAAATCTTTGATGTATCCATATTAACTATGCATTTGATGATAAAGTAATGGCTGTGCACTTTTGTATTGTCACCCTACACACATTCCCAAGACGCAGCTAGATAAAAAGACACAACTGCATCATGTTTTTCATAACTTCTCATGAGGCAAGCTAACCCTTTAATGAAATCCATTATTCCTAGGGCAGAGAGCTCCAGAAAGGGCAGAGAGCTCCAGAAAGATCAGAGATTTGATCCTTACCACATAGAAAAGAGATACATATTGTGTCCTAAAGGTCAGAGCAATGGAAGGTGACTATATAGATGCCTCCTCTATGAACAGCACACGTTGCAGTGCATTTTAAATAGAAGTAAACAAATCACACAGCATCCCTTTGAAGGAGATCTGCAGTCGACTGATAAAACAATACTCTGTGTCAGGTGTAAGTAGGGTGACCAGATAGCAATTGTGAAAAAACAGAACGGGGGTGGAGGTTAATAGGCACCTATAAAAGAAAAAGTCCCAAAAAACGGGACTGTCCCTTTAAAAACAGACATCTGGTCACCCTATGTGTAAGGGCCTGCAGCCAGGGCCGGCTCCAGGCACCAGCTTAACAAGCAGGTTCTTGGGGCGGCCAAGGGAGAGGGGCGGCACCTGCGGCAATTCGGGGGCAGCAGGTCCCTCATTCCCTCTAGGAGCGAAGGACCTGCCGCTGAACTGCCGCGGCTTTTTTTTTTCTTTCCAATTGCCATCGCCGATCGCGACTTTTTTTTTTTTGATTGGGGCAACAGAAATGTTGGAGCCGGCCCTGCCTGCAGCTAACCAGCTTACCTCCTAGCTTAAACCTCAGGCAGTCTAGCAAACACAAGTGGGCCCCAACTCAGCCACCTGATTGACCCATCTGCCCAATAGGCTGAGAGGATAAGGAGACCTGCTCTTAAGATCAGCAGCAGGGCACTGGCTGCTGAAAGCGTTTGCAAATATTGCCTCAGATCCAGTCCTGCTTCTGCCTTGCCTCATTCCAGCTAATTCAGCTCTGACCCTCAGCTCTGATTCCTGACCTCTGGGTCTGACCCTCAGCTCCAGCCACTAGGACTGACTCCAGCTACTAGGCACAACCCACCTATGTCCTAGTCACATGACACTCTGCAACTTAGCACAGGTTGTCATGTGGACATTTTACGGTATAAAAGTCATTTGGTGAGAGAACTACTACGTGCAAGTTAAGCAGAACACACACCACTGCCAGGAATGAGATGACGCCTTATTAGAAGTGGGCTGCTATTGGTTGGTGCAGGGGGGTAGAATTCTCAATCACATCCGGTTTCTAGTTTTGTGGCTGGTCCTTCCATATTGGACTGAATTAAATCCCAGATCCAAACATGCCCTGAAATTTAGGGAGTTTGAAATCTGGAACTAGAACTGAATTATATAGCCCAGGCCCAGCTCTAGTACACTGTCTATAAGATCTTTCATCTGAAGATCTAAACATGGTTTGCAAACAGTAATGGACATGAAATATTACATCCAGTCAGGGAAACCAAGGCACAATCTAAGTGGCTTGCTCAGAGCCACATGGTGATTCAGTGGGAGAGCCAGGAATGGAACGCAGGAGTGCTGACACCTAGCACTCTGTATGCAGTGTTGTTGTAGCCATGTCGGTCCCAGGATATTGGAGAGAATATCTTTTATTGGACCAACTTCTGTTGGTGAAAAAGACCAGCTTTCAAGCTTATGCAGAGTGTGCTCTGCTCTAACCTCTCACTGATGCATACTCCCTACCCATAACTGAATGTCCCAATGGGAGACAAAGCACCTCCCTCCCTCTGAGAGCTGAATACTCTGTTTCTAAGACTGCTCAGGCAATTTTGGATGCTAATCAGCCGCTGATGAAGTGCCTTCTCATTGGGAGGGAAGCAAAGGTTGAGAAGAAAGAGGAGAGGCTCCCACCTGTCTGACACGTCAGGAAGAGATAAAACCATCCACTGCCAGACTCCCAAACCTTCACTGTTAGTGAAGTGCCAGAACGTCCTGCTCTGTTCCTTCCCCGTTTTGTTCTCGACAAGGACCAGGGAAATATTTCCAAACAAGAAGCCGTGGATGAGCCATGACATTCGGAGCTACAAGGAAGAGAACATATAAGGAAGCAAGTAAGATACTTTAGTTATCCATAAATAAACTAAATCCCCAATTCTTCTCATTCAGTTCCTTCTTTCCCTCCCTCCAAATCCTCAATCCTTTTTCCCTGATGTCCTTCTCCTTCTCTCGGCATGGGGTAGCCGCCAAATATTTGAGGCAGGATTGCTGTGCAGAAGTATTTGGTGCAATATGCTGATAAAGACACAAAAAGTTAATGGAAAATTTGTGGGCCTGATTCTCATTTACACTAAGGCCCCCTGTACACCACTCTGGTAGTGCAAAGGGGTCTAAAAAGTGGGTTCACATGTAATTTATACCCATTTTAAGGTCCCTTTACAGTGCATGTATAAATGGTGATAGTTTAAATGAAAGTCAGGCCCTCACTATGTTAGATGACCAATCACTACTAACCTTTTTGGTGAAAACCAAAACAAAAAAGTCATTTAGCACTTCTGCCATTTCCACATTTTCTGTTATTGTTTTTCCCCCTCATTGAGTAATGGGTCTACCTTGTCCTTGTCCTTCCTTTTGCTTCTAATGTATTTGTAGAATGTTTTCTGGTTACTTTTTATGTCTTGAGCTAGTTTAATCTTAATTTGCGCCTTGCTAATTTTGTCCCTACATCGGTGTGCTATTTGTTTATATTCATCCTTTGTAATTTGACCTAGTTTCCACTTTTTGTAGGACTCTTTTTTTTTAGTTTTAAGATCACTGAAGATCACCTGAGTAAGCCAGAGTGGTCTCTTGCCAGACTTCCTATCTTTCCTACACAGTGGGATAGTTTTCTGTTCTGCCCTTAATCATGATGATCCTTTCTGACCTTAGTCTCTGAGTCTATATATATGGAAACCTCCAGTACCTCATATATGCCATTGGAGCAGTGCCTTTTAAAAACAAAAACAAAAAAAACCCCGACAGATAAGTTCAAAACATGGACCGTTTTCATATCACTTCTATGTTCAGTGCACATATACTTTATTATAAAAGGATGACTTTAATACTTGTGTGATCCATAACTTTAAGGCTCACTCTTCCTTTAGACATGATCTAATAGATACAAGTTAAAACTGACAGCTCTTTCAGTGATGAACTCTCTTATATTCAGGCAGCAGCAGAAACAAGTGCAGAATGACTGCAATAAGAGGGTGTTGCTAGCAATTACATGCTCATCCCCTAGATATTCCTTTCAAAAATTAGTTTTTCCCTCCTTCTCTTCAGGTTTTTATAGACTTTCCAATTATGATCCAGTGATATTTGGCTTTTTATTAATTAAAGTACTGTATGGAGCACAGTCTCAAGCATTTTTGTTAGATCTAATGTAACAAAGTCCCTTAGTGGCTCTTTATCTCTGTATATAAAATTACTTCCTGGCGTTTTCTCATTTTAGGACTCATTTTCTCTCATTGTCAGGAATGATATATAAACCTTTGCAATTTGGTCTGGTCTCAAAATCTCTAACATGAACATTGCTGTCTAATTTTCTTTGAAATAACCCCCTCAAACTCTTTGCTTATAAAGAGCTTAATAAGAAAAAAAATACCGCATGCAGGGGCTGGATTTATGCAGCCATCACAATAATCGGCAAATGTGAGGTTGCCCAAGGAATGAGTTTACTGAGGCTACGTTAATGATGGATTTCTGGACACAAGAGAGCGTTCACAGCACTGAGTCCTGATTCAACTGTCATAAAAAAAAACCTTCATAATTTTGTAATGCTTCAAATCCAGCACATAACCTAACCAGGAAGGTTAGGCAATTGCACTTATATTTTTATATGGTAATACTATTTGCTGTCTTGATAATATGCATTTTCTCCATTATATATTTAGCTAGGTTACAGAATTAGAAAGGCTAGCAGCTATCATGCTCCAGGGAAAAAGCTAGTCAGTAGTTTTTTTACCCCTCCCCATGACATAATACTGTACACTTAGCTAAGATGGGGTGTACATATGTGTATTGTGAGAGCATCTTTGCCTGAGGCAACAAGTCTATGCAGAGGACAGATTTGGAGATGGGGAGGATGAAGTGGTGATGCTGATGATGCTGAACTGAACCTTTGGCCACAGTCACAGAGTGTCAGGTATTTCACTGCTCATCACCCACAAGGGACCATGAGATCATCTACATTTCACCCAGTTACCCCAGTAACTTTGTCAAGTATCAGAGGGGTAACCGTGTTAGTCTGGATCTGTAAAAAGCAACAGAGAGTCCTGTGGCACCTTTAAGACTAACAGATGTATTGGAGCATAAGCTTTCGTGGGTGAATACCCACTTCGTCAGATGCATGTGACATGTGTCTGACGAAGTGGGTATTCACCCACGAAAGCTTATGCTCCAATACATCTGTTAGTCTTAAAGGTGCCACAGGACTCAATTTTGTGTTTGGCTTCAAAATTAACACCTCATTTAAATGAAGGGGGGGCAGCTCATTTCTTTTACAGCTACCATTTAAGGCCACTTGTCTCCACAGTTAGGAAGAGGACCACACTGAGAAGACTTCTGTTTGCAACTGTAAGGAAGAAAGCCCCAAGGCCCTGTTCTTCTTTCATGCCAATTTTACACCAGTGCTAAACCCTGGACTTCACTAGAGATGCTCCTGATTTATACTAATGTAAGTAAAAGGAGAGTCTGTCCCTTATTTATTTTATTTTATTTAAATTAAAATGTGTATTGTGCCCAAACACTGTCAGAGAAGTACAGGCATGGCATTCCATGGACTGCTGACTCAGTCTGACCCTGGGTACAGGAAAGGCCCCGTAGAACTCTGGGGCCATTTCTGCGCTTGAATCAGTAGAATCCATGACATAAAATTATGGATCCTACAGCAATAGGAGGAGCAGCCTACCAATGGCCTCATAGCAGCCAGTCTGCTGCTGCTATCACTGAAGGGAAGGAGAGGGGTAGGTCAAATAAGTAGTTTCTCCTTTGAGTCAGAGTTCAAGGCCAGAACAGAGCACCAGATCATCCAGTCTGACCTGTATATCACAGGTCACCACTACCACCTAGCAGCTGCACACTAAACCAACAACCAAAATTAGACCAATGTATTACAGCCCACAGGAAGCTAGACTGTTGTCTGCAACAGGCAGAGAATAGAAGGGACTGAGATGCACCAGTGCCCAAGGCCCCCCACAATGGCAGGGAAATGAAAGTGAAATATGCCCAGATAATCCTGGCAAGTAATCTGCACACTCATGCCGCAAAGTAAGACAAACCCAGTCCTCCTCTCCTCCTACCCCCCCACCCCCCGTGCCCCATCTCCCACACGCAAGGTCACTGCCAATCTGATTTTGGGGAAAATTCCTTCTTGATCCCACATACAGTGATCAGTTAGACCCTGTGCATCCATCTCAGGGGATGTTGTGGCTATCTCCTATTCTGTGATGATTCCAATGGGATGGTGTCACAAAGTGATCTGAGCCATGGGTATAGGCCAGTGGCAGCAAACCACTGGGCTAGATTATTAATTATTATTCATAGTTTGTACTATAGTAATGCCCAGAGGTACAGTCAAGATCAGGAACTCGTTGTACAGTGTGTAGGACAAAGTAGCAAGAACAGAGTCCCTGGCCCAGAGAGTTCACAACTTAGATATATGACAAGATGTGATAGGTGGATTAAACTAGAGCTGGGCGAAATATTTTGGATGAATAGTCTATTCACCCAAAAATGCAGTTTTGGGTTGGCCAAAGCTATTCACGAATTTGTGTCAAGTTTACCAATAAGTTTTGACCAAACAGAAAATGTAAAATGTTTCAATAATATTGAAAATATTTTTTTTCTAAATGAAACCAAATGTTTTTTTAGACATAACAAAATGTTTCAACTCAGATTTTTTTTACTCTTCTATTCGCTTAAATTTTGAAAAATGTCATTTTCATTCAACTCAAAACAATTTTTATTTTTTTTAAATGACAGTGAACCAAAAGGGATGCAGTGTTTTTATAGTCATATTGGTCGCAGGATATTAAAGGGACAAGGTGGGCGAGGTAATATCTTTTATTGGCCCAACTTCTGTTGGTGAGAAAGACAAGCTTTTGAACTTACACTGAGCTCTTCTTCGGGTATGGGAAACCAGTGAACCAACGTATCCATTATTTGCCCAGTTCCAGATGAAACAGACAAATGGGGATGAAGGGAGGAGTATGAAGACAAGGTAGCATAAATCAAACATCTCTTTGTAATAGGATGCAGTGGTTTCCAGGTTGCCAGACAGTTTTAGCTCTCTAGAGCAAGGCAGGATGTAACACCTCCTGGTGTGGTGGTTGGACTGTTGCTGGAGGTCTAATGCCTGTTTCAGGGAGGGATGCTGCAGGAGAGAGAAGCTTTATGTTGGTGTGCTGTTGAAGGAACCCTGCTGCCTGCCATTCCAGTGAAATACAATCATCTCTCTTCTGCTGCATCTTAGTGTCAGGTGAAATGATCCTGCTGCTATGAAGTACTTAACATTCCTTCAGGTGATTATAAACAGCAGATTATTATACTACTAAATTGTGATGATAGTTTTCTCTTGCAGCCTATTGGACTGGAGTTTGGCGGTGATGTAAACCACTTCCTTCTTGACTCATCAGAAGTAAAACTTCTGTGTTGATATTTTTGCATATTAAATTAAAGAGGTGAATTTGAAACTGAATTGATCAACCTTTCCTGCAAGCCAACCATTTTAATCTATAATGGGGAAAAGAGTACATCTTTGTGATGCAAAGACCAGTTCCTCTGCAAAATACCTTGAGACTTCAAACATGGACTAGAGAAGCCACTTCATTGTGCCATTCTGACTACAACAGTTTCAGGCTGATAAACAAGGTCTTAAGTGACCCAATACACTACCGCAGGAGTCTTCTAGCCTCTGCATTCTCTGGAGACCAGCCAGGCAACAAGAGTCTGTAGAATCTGAATTGATGACAGAGAGCGCCTTTGGCTATAGCAAAACTGGAAGTTGAAGCAGTCAGTGAATTGGAATGGATGCACATGTCAGCTG